CAAAGGCGAACGCCATTGAACTTGCCACCTCAAGGTGGCAAGTGGCGTTGCAGGCGAGCTGTGGGCTTCGACCGGGCTTTCCCTATTAATGGCGTTCCGTCGCCGGGCCATTAATTAATCCAATTATCGGGCGATTAACGTCCGAATTGAACATCAAGTATCCGCCATGTGGCGCCGTCTGACAGCAAATAATAAGAATTTTAATTGCAGCGAGACGCTGCTGAACGCCATGCCAAAATCGATTAATTGTGCACTGCGGATGCGTTGCAGGCATTTAATTGCTTCCGCAACCCGGAGATCGCAACAAAAGCTGACTCGGCCAAATGCAAATTCGCTTGGCCAGGGGACACGCACCATGCGGGTTTGCCAGGGCACTTTTCACTTTTCACTTCGAAACTTAATCAGAAAACAATTGCATGAAATTGTGCTCAGCAAAGCGAGAAATTAGTTTTTTAGTGCCACGAAATGCTCTCTGCGGGGCTGCATTTGCCGGATGTCGCAGGCTTGCAGATGACAACATTGCCAACATTTGCCAGTTGCCCAGGACTCAGTCGACTCCTGGCGATGTGCTCGCACAATTTCATGGTCCTGTCTTGTCAACCCTGCCACCCCCTTGTGTTTGCTCTGGGACTTTTGTTGTCCGACACGATGTCTTGATTTTCAAGAGACTTAATTATTAAAGCAGTCCCGGGCAACCGAGAAACCCTTCTGCGTTTCGGCCAGCTTGAGCCGGGCTGCCTGCCGAACTGAATGCCTAATTATGAGCCATGAACCAGTCTGGCTGAGCAACAGCTGCCGAAAGCGACCGAGAACGGGGACAACTCGCAGCGACGACGAGTTTGTTGGCTAAAAGTTAATTTTAAGCACACATTTCACTGAGCTCATTAAGCACACAGTTTTCCCATTTCCACCGCCCCGCCGCCATTCGCCCACAATTGCGCTCCGTAAATCGCGCGGATAATCAAGTTTTTGGTCGAATGCAAATGACAGAGACTCCATTGCGTCTATTAGCATTTGATTTGCTGGGATTTGCCGAATTGACGGGACTGTTATTACCCCAACGTTTGTGTTTACATTGCGACACTTTCAGCATGGTGAGTATTTTCTTGGAAAATTTGACAGTCTGGACGGCGTTAAGACCCTTAGCTATTTCTGACTATTAACTTTTTGGCAGAAGAACAACTGATTAACGTTGGATTTAATGGGTTGAAGCGTTTAAGAGTTGTTTTCTTGAGCTGTACATAAAAGCAGATCAAAGATTGTCATCATCAGATCAAAGATTGTCATCAAAGATTGTAGATTTCGGAATACAAAGTTTCAACTTAAGTGCTTTGGCATTAAACGAATGTTAAGTTTGCAATACAATTGAATCTAATCTTAAATGTAAGTACTTCATTCATACATAATGATGGTAGAACACATTTATTACTTGCTTTAAATTTTCAGAGTTGGGTTGCACTTAATTGCTTGTCTCAGCCTTGTAAACAATTATTGAGCACAGATGCCCACAAATATCGACATACATATACAAACACATAGGCAGATATCAATATCTGGAAGGAACAAGCGTAAAGAGCAACTTATGCTGCCCCCAAATGTGTGCTACAGTTCACCACCGGGGATGAGGGAGTTCTGTGGATCTTTGACCTACGGAATATGCGAGTGCCTTATTAGCTAGTCATAACATGGCCATAACACAGGAACTCCGCCTGCATGCACGTGTGTTAGCCCATTTATCGGCTAATCAAATTACACGGCCATAATACGCAAACATTTGCATGGAGCGGGGCAGCTTTAACAGGCAATTTGCGTTAAACGCTGATTGAATAACCATTAATGCAACTAAAGAGCATTGCAGCAGGGGTACACACATGCGACGTCCGATGGTAATGACATCAGCAGGTGGGGCGAAAGTGCAATCAGGCCATAAACACGTTCCAACGGCTCTGGCCAGCGAACTCACTGAGTGACTGACTTTTAAAGGGACAGCGAGAGGTGAAGGGAATGGGAAAGGAAGGGGGAGGGATGGGCGCCTAAGTCCACGTCGAGGATTGGAACACATCGCTGTCGGGTCGATCGACGTGCAACAGCATATTCTGCTAATGGCCAAGACAGGAAGACAGGAAGCGCCATTAGAACGGGAGGTATGTTAGAGTACACAATGCGTTGAGGACGGAGGGGAAGTGCATTAAGCCCGCGGAGTCCGTCATTAAGTCGTCGAGCTCTTTAACGCCAGCCGCGCCCACCAGCGGAGTTTATTAAGAACGCATTTATCATAATTACCGACGGGTGCTGTCCTGTCTGCCTGTCTGCCTGATGGAACAGGACTGCCATCGCCATCGCCATCGCCATGTGATGACAAATTCAACAGGCAAAGCGGCCGTAAAATTCCAGGAATTTCATTGCGGGATGGCCGCCCGAAAAAATGTCTATGATGGTCCTGTCGACGTGGGGCGAGCTCATAAAAAATGCGGCAGGCAGACACCATGAAAACCAAAAGAACAGAGCACCGGAAAAAACAATTTATTATTTCCATCATATCAGCTTAATTACAATTCAACAACAAGAAATGGCGTTACTCATAAGCTATTCAAAACAGTCAAAGTTCAAGACATATATAAACTATTATGTGCTTGTTATTATTAAAAACAGCAGAAACTTTGTGCATGCTATTAGCTCAATGAAAAAGTTTTCCATCGCTCACAATTCGGCTGTTGTTCCAAACTCCTGCCCCCATAATCGCTTGTCTGTTTGCAACACGATTGAAGTCCATTCAATCTCCAGCAGACGAGCGGGGATACAGTTTTTCCTCACTGTGCAGCCACTGCAAAAGGAAAAGCGAAGAATTTATACGCGTTGGGACTGAAACTGGGAATGATTCATGCGGAAGTAAAGGCACTCGAGAGTGCCGTAAATATTGTGGCAGCGACCACAACAACAGATTCGAGCGGAAGCCCGGAAAAAGTGTGAAACACAGGCGGAAAACAAAAGGAAAGCTTTGCATTTTCGCACCTGTTCAGGTGCTGCTCACACGAGTGAATCGCTTGATTCATTCGCTGGTAGTGACAAACCGTCAGTAAATGTCCAAATGTCCAAATGTCCGAAAGTGCGGGCTCCCTCCTCGAACTCACCTGCGATATTTTACTTGCAGTTTCGCCGCTGTTGCTCTGCATTATTTAATTGACACGTTGATTGTTTCGCATTGCGATTCCATTTTATGTGCAATTTCAGGCAAGTGGATGATGGAGCGCTGCCGGGGGGCGGTTGTGGGTGGTCGCCAGTCCGACTGCCGAACGGACGGACAGTTGCCTGTTGAAGTGCTCCCCACAGCGCCGACTCACCAAAACAGCGCTCAACAGTTTGTTGCTCCACAGATAAGCGGAGAGCGGGCAACAAATGTTGCCGAAACATGCTGGCTGGGCTACGTTGAATATTCGAGTGAATAAATTAAAAATGCGTTGTCCTCATCCATAGCTTAAGGCCTGGCACAGGACGCTTTAACTTTAGTCAATAGTGTGCAAAGAAATAAAGAAAAACAGATGAATCGGATCCACCCGTTCTTGGCAATTGAAACAGTCTCTAAATAGTGAAAAGCTAGTACAGTTGAATATACATACTTGTTCAAAAGCAGAAATATTCATTTTGGTAGTGTAGCAAGCAGCCCTATGTACATATACCAATTATTAAGCACTGCTTGATAAGCAGTTAACGTTATTGTATATTGCTTAAGTTAAGTCATCCTTTATGTCCCCCTTACTCCTTTAAGAAACACCATGTAAACCCATCTCTAAGTATGTACGTCTCTCTCTTGCACAAACGAGATTGTGAAATAGGCTAAGCATTAACAGAGATGATGAAATAAAGATCACTTTTGCTGCGACCACTGAAGAGAAAACGCCCTGATTGTATCACTACAGTAGCTAACAATATAAAGTTCGTGGGTACCTACTTTAAACTTTGCTAATAATCTTATAAGAGGCGGAAAACTTAAACATAATAACGGATGTAGGTTTTGTTTGAAAATTAGTTCTTAATTCTAGTTTTATTTAAAGCTTTCAGTGGTGCGAGTATACTGATAAAGTATACTGAGTATAATAATAAAAAAGAATCTGAGTTAGTGAGTTAAAATTTTATGGGTACTGTGGATCAGTGTTTAAAAAACTGCAGTCGAATTAGCAGAAGTCGCAAAATATAAGCTATTCGGTGCTTCGACTGTTTGCAATATTCTAAAAGTAGCAATTGCTTCTGCTTCTGCTTTTGAAAAAATTAGAAGTCGCAGTCGAAGCATAGCACAAACTTATGAAAGCAACGAAAAGCAAAAATCATCAGCAGGCCTCGCTTTTCGTTTTCTTGCATACTGGAGTAGATTGACTTATTGCCGTTGCCTAAATAGACACACACTTTGCTTTTAGGATATTCAAGTTGTTTAAGGTTATTTTATACAACGATCTTCTAGAAATTACAATTTTACCAAGACTGACACATCGGGTTATATGATATATTTTCAGCTTGTTTTTTCGCGAACTACCCACTGTGCGGAGGATTTTTCAAACTTGTTGCTAAAAAAACCCGCCAAAACACGTGAATGGGAGTGGAGGGGGAGAGGGGTGAGGGGTGAAACAACAACAAGGCCAAAAATACCGCAGCCGTCAACACTGCAGTCATCGGCAATGAGTAAGTTTCAACAATCCGCCCAGCGAGAAGGGGAGGGGGGTGGTGCCAGAACCCACCACGCCCCCTCCCCCACGGCCTCCTCCGGGAAACTCACCTGTGAGGCGCAGGACAGGAGCGTGGTGAAGAGCAGCCAACTCGGAAATCGGAAATCGGCCAAACAGTTGCGACGCGACTACCAAATGATTCGGACGCGACGGCGATTCAGCGGAAGTTCGGAACTGAGATGTTTACTCAAAAACTGTATACACCAAGTGCTTGAAGAAGTTTTAAAAAATTGCTTGTTTTCGAAATCCGGTGTTGAGTCAGTTCGATTTTAAATTTGGCTCAATTCCTGTGATTCGCGTTAATCGAATATCCAATAGTTATTTTACGGTTGAGTCTTAAAAACCAGGACTTGAGTTTCACGACTTGGAAAGATCTAATTTCGCGCTGTTTGAGCTTCTGAAACTTTGTGTTTCGGTTCGACCTCCCGTTTATCCCATTACTTGCATCTTCTGATACTTTTCTCCACTCAGGGGATGCGTAAGTATTTGATTCAGTTTGATTGCTCACACAATGACCAAGCTAAATGGCCAAGTTTTCCCCTTGGAAACGACTGCAGTGGAAAGTTAAATCACATTTATTGCGGCTCAAACTTGTGCCTTCGGTCGGCTGCTTAATTAAAAACTAAGTTTGAAACCCTGAAGAGGAAATTACTTGAAACATCTGTTTCCTGAGCGTTTTCAAAACTTGCTCAACTCGTTTCCTAATGTTTGTCTAAAGGGAATCTTTGTTACGAGCTCTAATTGCATTTGGCAAGTGGAAGAAACCTAAATGGTCGAAACCTACATACTCGTAGACGGACTGCCATTTGCTGAACACGTCCGATAGTGGATTCTTATCGCCTCGGCCCACGCAGCAATCGACAATATCGGTCTTATCTCCCGTGGGCTTTTGTCACAATTTACGTGCAGCCAGCGAGCGAGAGACACGTCAGAAAACGTGGCATACATTGAGGCGCCTCCGTTGGCACGGTGGCGTATGCTTAATTATTCATATGCAGACTGATGGCCCCTCTCGGTGTCTTTCTTTCGAGCAGACACTTGTGTTATTGTGTTCGTGCAGTCGCTCCGCTGCCGAAAGACACTGCACTTCCGATGGAGTGATAGATGTTATGTTTTTCCATTGACGCAGAAGTAAATACGCAGTCGCTCTATATTACAGACATAGATAGGGATACTGGTGCAGTGGACTAGTAAACATTATCCACCCGGAGATCGTGCGTTTGCATGCTATGCGATCTGGGTGTTGGCGTTCTGGGAAATCAGTTTGCCCATTGACAGCGCATTAGGCATTCGCCGAGTGTGCGGAGTAATCTATTGTTATCTGGGAGAACTATTGTTAGATTAGTAGGTACCCTACAGTTTGTTAGTTCTCCCCTCCCACTCGTGATCCCCCTCTGGCGTCGGAGCTCGCATCAAAGCTTATTCATAACATTTGCCTTTGTCGGGGACACAGATACCCACAAACCCACACATTAGGGCCTTCTGTCCAGCTGTCAGCAGTTGGCAACTCGCACAAAAACAGAAAGCCAGGGACGCGTTGGAAAAACCCTTTTTGGCAAGTCCAACAATGGCAATCCACATTAGTTCGCAGCAGGAAAAATGTTATGTGTAAGAGGAAAACTTTTACATCTGCTTCTGGCGGTTTGTAAAAATAATATTAGATCCCCTTTCCCTTTCCCTTTCATCCCTCGAGAGCCCGCGGCTAGCTTACACTTACTTTGTAGTGAATTTAGCCTGCTGAAAACTCGGTCTCACATTTGCCCAATTTAACTTTGCAGTTGCACGGGTCCCCAGAGCCAGTCGCCGGAAACTCGAATTGAAATCTATTTCGGAACTTTCGCTTAATCAACAAGTTACTTTCGCGAACCCTTTGGCTTAAGCTCGCTCTGTCGCTCCCAAAAGCCGATTTCGAGTGCGATGCTGGGCTAAGCCATTTGACGGAGCTCCACAAACGCTGGCATGCAACATTCAAAGGGAATCGCAAATTGAAGGCACCGTCGCGGATTCAGGTGACGCGGACTGACTGCGTCCTCGCCATTTTCCGGTATTTTGATTTTGATTTCGCTTTCCCGGCCCGCAATGCGCCATTAATTTGCACAACCTTGGACTCTTCTGCGCTTCGATTTATGTTCCTCGTTGAAAGTTGCGGCGCGCCAGAGCAACAGTTCAGTTCGGTATTTGTGGAATGTGCTCCTGATAATTTTATTAATTTCAAACCGACGAATACCTAAGCGCTCAAAGGAATAATAATAAAAAAGCCAACATGGCAATGGAATGGATAACTGCAATGGACAAACGGTAAGTGAAATGAGTGTTTTCACGGCGAGGAAAACACTTTAATTAAGACACTTTTCAAAAATAAACTGCACAATTACCCCCCGACCAAGTCCAGGCTGAGATGGAGAACTTGCCGTAATTTAAATGATAAGTTTTATGCTCAAACCAAAGTTGCCTAATTGAATTTCTCCTGAAAAGCTTCAGAGCGTTTCTTAAATTTCCAGAAACATTTTCAAGACGAGTGCACAAGCTCCTTTCCTCTTGTTTTCCCAGGGAAAACACGTACACTCACATCGAAGCACATGCACGTTAAATGAAAAGCTCGACGAGGAGTACAAACAAAACAAGAACGAGGGCGAAACATTTTAAAATGTTACCGTCATGCTCTACATTCATTTGTCAAGAAGCAACATCTGCTTGCCACTCGATCTTCCTCCATCTTCGCTGGCGGGAAAAGAACAATCCATATTGTGGACACGGCCTGCCACGAATTACCCGCTTTATTAAATCCCAATACCGATTCCCTTTGACTGACTGAGCAGCCGCTGGCGAGGCAATTACATAATCGGGCTTGAATAGCAGACCGAAATTAATTGAATGATAAAAGTGCACACAAAAAAATATTGTTTTAAAGGCGGCTTAGCTGTTTTTGTTAAACATCAGTTTTTGATGGAAATATGTACATATATGGAACTATTATCCAACCACGCGCAATGAACAAAGAGTAATTAATGGCATTTCTTATTATTCTGACGGATATTAAATGTCAACACATTTTCAAACGTAAACAGATTTTGAACATTTATGTTTAAATCAATTGACATTTAAAGGGGTCAGCGCCTTTATGTTGGTTTCTCATATTTTACCATAAACTTTGTTTTAGCTACAGTTGGTTTTTCCAAGGAAACAAGTTTAAAAGTGCCAGAAGTGCCAGAAGTGTAAATTTAAAAGAGAACACATAATATGTTGTATGCATATTGACAAGCCTTACGTGCCGTTCAAAGAGGCTTTAACATGGATAAATAATTTACATGTCCATTTTATCCCCCGGTTGTTGTGGTTGCAAAAGCCTTGTTGCTAGCAATTTGTGCGGTCACTTTCCTCCAAAAGTTTTTATCAATGTTTCAGAAATAAACAAGAAAGGAAGCTAGCTTCGGCAAGCCGAAGCTTATATACCCTTGCAGTCATCAAATATGTCGAAAAAAATACATAAAGGCTAAACAACATCGAAGCTAAGACGATTTTTCTATTCATTTTCCATATTTTCGACTATAGATCATATGGGAGCTACATATATGTATGATATAGTTGTCCGATTTTCATCAAAATTAATTCGTAATTCAAGAGTCGTTAGAAAACGTTAAATTTCAAAAATCATGCTTATCAAATAAAAACCAACGATGTTATAATTTTATTTCCGTTATTTCTATATAGATTTTTCGATCTTTCCTATGGCAGCTATAAGATATAGTTGTCCGATTTTTATGAAACTTTTTTCTCAATATAAGGGTTGTTAAAAAACTTGATATTCAAAAAATCATGCTCGTGGGATAAAAAACAACGATGCTATCAATTTATTTCCATTAATTCTATATATATTTTTTGATCTCTCCTATGGCAGCTATATGATAGAGTTATCCGATTTTGATCAAATTTAATCCGAAATTCAATAACAGTTAGAAAACGCCATCTTGAAGAATTCAAGTCGATCTGATCAAAAACAACAGAGTGAGAATTTTTAATTTCATTCTCTTGTATTGGAGCTATCCGATATAGTCGGCCGATCCGGCTCGTTCCGACTTATATACTGCGTGCAACAACTACACAACTTTTGGGAAAGTTTCAGCACGATAGCTTTAAAACTGAGAGACTAGTTTGCGCGGAAACGGACAGACGGACAGACGGACAGACGGACAGACGGACAGACGGACAGACGGACAGACGTACATACATATTTCGATTCAGATGGTGATGCTGATCAAGAATATATATACTTTATGGGGTCTGAGGTGTCTCCTTCACTGCGTTGCAAACTTCTGACTGAAATTATAATACCCTTTTGCTCTGCAAGGGTATAAAAAGAGTGGACATGCGGTTAAAAAGTCCCCTTTGTGCATGTAATCTATGTTCAGCAAAATAAAATTATATCCGAAAAAAATATTATATAAAATTCAACAGAGCTCGACAATTTGAGCTTAAATCGCCATTGTTTATTCCGTGCTTTCGAATCAATTTGTTCAAGCGTAAATGGTCGAGAACCACTTGGTGCAATTTGCTCGATTTCAGCTGGGAAAATCATTTGGCGAGTGCCACCACTCACAAGTCACCATTGGCCATCGTATGACCGACCCACCGACTGCTCAGTTCTGCGGCACATTCTATTATTGCGGAGTGGCCTTATATTTCATTGCTGGTATCCGAAGGGGCGTGGCGCCGCCCTGCCTCCACACCATCAATCACAGGGCAATCTCTTCAAATTTCATGCTCTGTCAACGCTTAAACGCTTCTCCCGCACATATTTAAGGGGCCAGGGGGAGGGGGAGGGGGGCTTGGGGGGTCAGCGGGCACTCGTGTGACTGCGCGCAGCAGCGGCAAAAAATAAAGGTCAAGTGGCAAAGGCTTAAAGCAAACAGTTTGCCGTGTGCCTGGGGCAAATATTTGCAACTTGCTGCCTTTTGTTGCCCCACTGCTAGGGGGAGCCAAGTGGCCAAGTGGGTTGCAGGCTGCGGTGGCAACTAAAATAATAATCGGAGAGACTTCGCAGATTGCTTTCTCCACTCCACGATTTCCTAATGACGCAGGCACCTTTTCTTTCGCTCCCCGGCAGCAACTCATTCTGCATTTAGTACAAATGGCCCGCCACTCCGGAAACCTAACCAAATAAATGATTTAATTTGGGCAGAATTAATGGCAGAAGCCCGGCGGCGGGAAGGCAAGTCACGCTGGTAATTCGGCTTATCAAGAGCGATCTGGGCTTAGGCACACCTGCAGGAAAAGGACACGTTGCACACGAGCGAAGGAGCCAGCGAATCCTGCGAGTCCTTGGCACTGCGAAGGCGAAGGCAAGGTAATCGCCGTGCGTAATGCGTAAAGTGGCAAAGCCAGACAGCAATTGATATTGATGGTCCCTGGCAGAAAGTCGTCTTACTTACAAGTGCCACCGGGCATTTATCATACGCCACGTGTGCCGGGAGCAGCTTTAATGTATGCCAGCCATTTTTCCTGCATCTCCGGGGCTGACGGATCGCCGGCACGGCAATTACCAAATTCCGAAACTAAAGTTCGGGGCGTGTGCCTAAAAACCGCAAAAACCATTATAATAAACAACGAGCCATGGGTTTCCTGCCTGCCTAGGATGCGCCCCAACGCGCTTCCGGCTCTTTCCCTCCCCCTCCCCCTCCCCCTAACCATTACCATCACCCTCTCCATCGTCCCCGCCCTTGCCAAAAAGCACTTAGGACCCGACTGTTTGGTTAACGACAAGCCCAGAAACAGTTGGCGGCCCTGGCACTGGGGCAACATCATCCCCGGCATCCAGGCAAGCGTCGTCTCCTCCGCGGCGAATGAATTATGTATGAGCCTGGCAAGACAGCCGCTTACCTTCGGCAGGCGGCCAAAAGTTGCTCGACGGCTGCGCCAAAAAGTAGACGTCTCGCTGCAAAAGTAGCGCCAATGCAGATGATGCCCCGGCGAAGGCCAACTTGTGCTTTATTTCCGATCTGCAGGCGGCCTTTGTCTGCCATGCTAGCTGGAGCCACTCGCCCAGGTCACCTCCTTCTATCCTCCGTAATCCCTCCGCCCGGAATCGCCCGAGCTCTCCGAATTTTATGGAATTTTTAATTAGGCGGAAGCCCGGCGAGGAGTCTTTAATGTGGGCGGCCCCCGGATTTATTGTGGGCGAGTACTCGCCTAAAAATAATCTAAAACTTTTTGAAACATGGCAACAGAAAGGTTAACTTTAACTCAACTTTTTTTTATTGCGAAGAGCACTGTTTTTGGCCACAACTTGCAACACCAAGTGCAGAGAAGATAAAAAGCTTTAAAACAATAAATTATACTTTAATAGTTAACAACTGAAAGATAATACATTTATTGGTACATGGACTTAAACCTTGCCCCAGCTTAACTATTTAAGAATTATATAAAACAAGTGTTTAGGCTTTAAAATTATTTCATAAAGTTGCTTTCACAGTAGTCCCAAGAATTATAGGGTGTTTATTAGATCAGCTTATTAGGTTAACTTTTTTTATGCAATTAGTTGCTGGTCGGCTATTACGGCTTCATCTTTTTCCCCCTTTATTCTCATTTTTCATGGCAGGCTTCCGTTTCCTGCGAGATTCTTGCCCGGAAACTCTCATATTTATTTATTCATTTTTCAATTGACTTGCACACAGACGAAAAAAAGAAGAATTTGCATATTTAATGTGCGCACAAACCAAGTACAAATGACACTGGAATTTTTAATTTGAGTTTATTGTTGAACTAATATTTCTCTTTGCCTTCCCATCTCCCCTCTTTTTTATTCAGTTTATGGCCTTGTTGGGATACCAAAAATAGAACACGGCCAAGTGCAGTGCTTTACAAAGCGTCAGTAAATTATAAATGCAAAATACTCGCTTATTATCTTTTTGAGGTCCCTTTATTCTTTACTGTTCTCTATTGTTTGGTACGACGGGCTCAACTTTCAATTGCTTAATACGCTGAATCCATCGGCAAAGTACTTCCTTATTTTATTGTACATTCTATTTCGGTCACTTTAAAATAAAGCTTCTGGAGATCTTTTAGATTTATGGCCCACATAAATTTCCCTATTTGAAAATTGTTTGCAATTGTAACTCTAGTTGCTCGTAAAAAGTAATAGAAGGACCTTACCTGATTTTATGGGGAAAATGATTTTGTGACAAACAATATAGCTTAGGGTTTTCCTTGTTTTTTGTTCGCCGTGCAATTTTATGGATACTTTAACCCATATGGATACCTTTGGTATCCTACCATTCCCTATCCTAAGATTTAGAGAAAATTAGGTTTAATTAACCTTTTTGGCCTGATTGAGACGGGAGTTTTAAAACCATATAAATTGCCTCCACTTAAGTTTAAAATATTTCTTTCCGAGCTATTTTTTAATTGATGCTTTAAGAATCAGGATTAAATTACCTTATTTTCTGTATTTACATTCTTAAAGTGAAATTAATACTCAATCTATGGCGTCTTAAGTTTTTATTCTCCGCTCAAGAAAGTTTTGGGAGAAAGGCACATGGTTCTTACACTTACGATACAATTTGATACTATGAGTATTTATAGTAACATACCTTTCAATGTAACACCATTTTATTGTTATTTTTACTAAATAATTACATTGACGATTACATTACTTTTTAATAGCAAAATAAGTTATAACGCTTGCTGTTCTAACCCATTCTTGCACAAAACGATTTCTCTATTAAAGACAAAATTAAAAGGTAATATTTTCGCAACAAGTAGGTTGTAATAAAATAATTGTTTTACAGACCTTAACTAGTCGTCCTTGCTTGTATATAAAATATTTTTTTTTTTTAAGCTAAAGCCCACTAACAACATGACTAGTTCTTTTTGCCATTCCACGATGCCTAACGATTAAAAAACACTACTTTTTCAGTCCTTGCGACCGGAACCTGCGTGACGTGGAGCTAATCTCGTGCCGCCTGCGTCGCGTGGAGCCGCTGTGTCGCCTGCCGGGATCCGCGCTCCAGCAGTTGGCCATGTGCGGATTCTACGAGGACCTGGAGAAGGGCGTGACACGTGAGTGTTGTTTCGAGTGGCTTTGCCGTGCAGCGGGTGCCAGCCAACTGAACTCCCAACCCTCCAACCCTCCTCCCTCTCTTTACAGTGTTTCGGGCCGGGGAACAGGGTCGCTTCTGGTATGCGGTGCTCGGCGGGTCGCTGGAGGTGCGCTACCACGCCCACGCGGACGCCGATGGCAAGGTAAGTCCTCGCTTACAGCTGCTGGCAGATCGAAACAATGCCGGGCTGAGCGATATAATTGATAGCGATTATGCGGCACCCCTCCGCGTTGCATATCCGATGCGCCGAGCACGTTCAATATTCCGGGGATTTCGGCCGGGGGGATTCGATTCGCGGTGGGGGACTGGGGGGGGGGGATTGGGGGTTGGCTGCGGTCTAAGCCCCCTTTCATCCGTCGATGTGAGCAGCAGGAAAAAGGAACTGCTGACAACGGAGAACATTGAACAGCGAACAGCGAACAGCGAACAGTTCCCGCGCGCCTCTTTCACCCGGCAAATCATATCGGTTTGTGGCATTCGCTTTTTTCCGTTCCATTTTTTTTTGCCCTCCTTCTGGCATTGTGCTTGCCACAGCAACATTAATTTCCGCCAGGATATTGGCCAGCAGTTTTTTCCAGCCCAGTGTTCTGAATGTACGAGCATGTGACCGAGGGCCTCCATGTGGATGCCTCCACATGGCCGAGTTCGGTTTGCGGGCTCTTCGGAGGAGAGGTGTCTGCTAATTGAAACGGTCCGAATTCGGTCTCGGGCTCCTCGTGGTGCCTCCGTGCCGAGTGGCAGCAATGGAAATTCGAGTGTTTATGGTTAAGTGGGGCGTGACAGTGGCAGCAGTCCGACCCCAGCTTACTAATACGGTGACTGTGTGGCCTGTCGAGTGTGTGGCTTGGCAATTGCATCTGCATTTCTGCGGTGGAAAGAAGGGGGAAAGGGGGGGGAAGTGGGCGAAATGTAGTTCAGTTCCCTTTGATTCTGCCGCCGATTGCCAGGATATCTATAATGCTGATTAGTTCATCTGAGAATGTGTTGGCCGGAATTATCTAGTTAACGCTCTTATAACTTTATTAAGACGGTTATCAACTGGTTCTTACCAATAAGACTTCATTTACATAACATAATCACTGGTGATTGGTTTATTATTTATTGTTATTAAATTAATATTTATAATTTTAATATTAATTAATTAAGAATTAAATATATTGTGTTTTCAGATCTTGTTTTATACAACGAATAATTAAACCGAAGACAATTATTGCTTATTTTTAACAACGTTTCTAAGAGAACTTAATACCAACAACGAATTGGATATTCCAGCACCTCCAATACAACTTTCCTTTCTCTTTCATAACATAATACCTTCCATTATTTAAGAATGGAGTGATGGAATATTTTCTGTTCTCAGAACTCTTTAATGGTCTCCACTGGCTCTTTTAAATCAACAACAAGGAAGTGGAGCCCGACATTTCCTGCATTCGCTTTCAGTGGAGTACCTTTGCTGATCAGCTTATCTTTTCCCCCGGTTTATCAAAGCGATTGGTTCCTGTCGACATCTTTGTTGACCCGCTTTTCCCGCTGCCTCCGACATGCCTTTGCATATTTTTTCCGGCTGATTGGGTTTGGGAAAAGCCCCAAATTTATTTGCCTGCGGACAACCCTTAGCAATTATAACGTAATACATTATTCAAACGAATCCACAGTGTTTTGGGCCTATGAAACTGTTTTTGACACTTCGCATGGAGGCGACTCTTGTGAGTTTTCGTGTCGTGCGGCACGCAACGCCCAATTTCCAGAGCCGGATAAATATACCTGAATGCTGAATGTTGAATGTTGAATGCTGAGTGCCGACTCCCGAGACAAAGAAGAGGAACCTATCAATAGACCCACAATTAATTTAGAGTGATGCGGAGGTGCTCATCAAAAAGCAGAAGCAGAAGTGCTGCTTCTGAAAGATCCAGCGAAGTGCTGGAAATTTATGTGAGAATGTGAGACTCCGGCGGCTGCCGTTTGGTGCGAGTTCCGTTTTGAGTTGTTTGGATTTCCCCTTTGGCCTCGGCGATCCCCCTCCCCCTTCCCCTTTCCCCTTTCCCCTGCCCCCTCTTCGATCACGTGATGAAGCCAATTTGAGTCTAATGAAATGCGAGCAGGCAGCCCTAAGTAGCAAAAACAGCTGAAGCAGATACAAATTGCGGCTAATTCATAAATGTCTTGCGAGACTGGAGGACCGAGCGATTTTTCAAGGCGAAGTTAAGTGTGGGCGTCCCGCCTGCATAAGCCCGTTATAATTGAAAACAGTTCTGCAAGGGAATCTGCATTCGGCCCCGCCCCCTCCGCCCACCTTTCCAATCGACCTTGCAAGTAGCAAAGTAACAATGTATCTGCAAGACGGGTCGTACTTGAGCTCGATTTCTTGGCTCCCGACCCGCCGACACGAGCACGATTAATCTTTGTTATGCGCCGCGGCCGCAAACATGTCCGGATCCAATTAAAATGATTATATAATTACAGCCGGAACGCCCGGCACAGCCATCCCTGGCAGAAAAGCCATCAAACTAATGAAAATGCTTGAAACCGAAACTTAACCCACATGTAATTATGCATCATTAGGTGCAGGTGAGACGAGGGGACTCCTCGCTCGAAACTCGGGCCACGGCCACCCATGGAGCCCCGATATTCAAGTTCAACACTTCGTAGGTGTCGGAGCGCAGGTATTTCTGATCTAAGCGACCGAGATTGGAGAAAGCAGTCCCATTGTTCGGGATCCAGCAATAAATAACTGGATGCGGCGGTGAAAACCTCCGCTCGAACAGAACACCTCTGGATAATCGAGAGCAAAAGCCGCAAAACCACCGGTCAAAGCATTTGATTTGTAAGAGCGATTTCCGCCCAGGTATTTCGAAGCGGAAGCATTCGGGCTTTGGCCAAAAGAGCCGCCTGCCACAATGAGCAATTCAAATCAAAGACGCTGGCCTCATTCGAGAGGTTTGTGGCCCCGTTCGCCGAAACGTCTAATTAGCCAAAAACACAACACATCTCGGCCGTCTTGTCCAATTTTGATGGAGTCATTTGCATACGATGGAATCGCCGGCCACCTGACTTCTTCGGACACCGTTTACTGTTTGCCTGCTGTCTGTTCGGATTGAGCTAAGTCCAATCATTGCGGCAATTAAATAGATTCACACAGCCAATCGTCTGCCAGATGTCAGATGCTGGATGCTAGATGCTAGATGCTTGATGCCAGAATTAGAATGAACAGAGATACTTGTCTAGCGCGAAAACAAAGCCAGCGAGGCGGATGGAGATAAACGAGGGCTGCTGCCACTTGAGACGGCAGTGACAACAATTTGTCGCTTCTCATTAATGCCCCGTCTTGTCTTCTGACCCTCGCGATCGTCGCCCCGGGTTTCGGGATGCGTAAATAAGTAAATACAGAAATATAGAAACATAAACACAAACATCCAGGGGACGCGCTCTCGTTCGGCTGGCTCTTCTGTCAAACAAGTTGGCGACGTCGGCAGCGAAGTTGCCCACATGTGCGCTTGTGCGCGACCAGCGGAATGTATCTTTCGGATACTTTGGCGCTCCACAGAAATTAATACGTGCCGAGCACTTCAGCGGCGCACAACTCGAGGTTCGGTTCGCTGGCTCGATCGGTCGAGAAAAGTATCTCTATCTCCGCTCAACCCTCGAAAGAGTATCTTCAGCAACTGAAGTTGGCGATGCCGCGGAAAGTGCGTGGGCCGTGCTGAAAGATTCGCGCGGGCGTTCGCCAGGCCTGGGTAAACACATCCATTCGCGAAACCCAAATAAACCAGTTAAATCGGCTGTATAGCTATATGGATATATGGCCGAAATGTAATCGACACGAAAACAGTGTTACAGAGTGCAAACAGGCTGCTGCGAACGAGAGCCCGTTTCGAGTGCAGTTTTGAAATTGTTTATGCAATGCAATTGTGTTATAAATTTATTACCTTCAAAGCGAAACAAAGCAAGGCAGCCGAACCACACATTTCTCGCTCTGCGGTGATTCAACAGCTGCAGTGTGTGTAAACAAAACAGAAACGAAACAAGGCAGTATGGAGGAATTTAATTCAAGTTGATTTCATTCATTAAATCCGCCTGGAAGGTTGCCGGAAAGCGCAGCGAATACTTTTCTGGTGCGTATCTTATTTGCATTTTCCGTACGGGGTCTTATCTTCGACGGGGGTTCTTATCTCCGCGGGGAGAACTGTTTTCGAGCGCACTTGGGCAAACCTGAAATCAGAGCTCGTTCTATAAATAACTTCGTTTAGAGCTCTTTGCGGTGCCTCAAGTGCTGTGAGTGGGCCCATAAACCACTTCCGCAGAGATGAGTAATTGTTCCTGGCTCGGAAATCAGTTCCGATTGTCAACGCAGCCTGGCCAGATTCATTCCCAGGTTCATCAAATCACCCATCGTCAATCCGCACGAGCTCCCAAATCGCATAAATCACGGCCCAATAAATGCGATTTGCATAATTGATTAAAATATTCGCAAGCTGCTAGGCAGGCAGGTGAACCACTTATGACTGCTGGACCATCGGAGCAGTCAAAATAATAAATATGAATACAAAAGGCAGCGCAGGTCGGCCTGAGTAGCCATTGAGATGATTGATGGTGCTCGGGTTGGTCAAGAGCCAATAAAATGCATAAATGAATGCCCGAGGAGGAGGAGGAGGAGCCGTTGCCATAACAAATGCAGATGAAGCTGAAAGATTGATAGTATCTCCCGGGGGAGGGAGCAGTCCCCGTCTATAAAGACATAACCCTCGGCCGATTGCGTTGGGCAACCCGTGCTATATTGGGATTTATGTTTGTCGGGGCTTTCCCAAATAAACTTTGCAGCCACTTAATTGGGTCTGAGGTCTAGGAGGAGGAGACTGTTCAACCTTGCCAAAGGTCAGAGGGCAACTGGCTGCACATTTCACTCTGCTGACAAGATGCACACTTTGGCTCTTCCCCTGTGAAGCGTATGATACTAATAACGCTTGTGTTTTTATGCTTTTTATGGATCAATAAGTTTGCGGGCCACGGAGCAACAGCATCGGGAACAGGAGACCCACGAGAGCTCCTTCTCCCGAGATCAAGGTGCTTTTAATAATCTTTAATAGCTTGGGCGAGAATGTGAGTGCGAGTGGGCGGTTAAAAAGCAGTTTTCTGGGCCCATAA